AATTGGTAAATTAAGTTTTTTTGCTTAATTTAATAAATTTAGAATATTTTCAGTCAAAAATTAAAAAAATGTGAGATTTTGCATAAACATTGATTTGCTTATTTCAATAGAATTAGAGCATTTTTCAGCGAGGAACTTATTACTAAATTCAAAAAAAAAATACCAAAACAAAGATGAAAATCATAAATGTGTTATTTATGCTTTTGTTCAAGGAATTTGAAGTGTTTCTGGTGAAAAACTAAAATAAAAGATTTTTTCAAAATGAAGCAAGATTCTCCTACAATCCATACACCTTTTTTGTCTTTAATTTTTTTAAACTAAACTAAAGAACTAGTTAAAGCTTTGGTAGCTGCTAGTGATATTTTTTATAAAACACCTACAACAAAAAGCAAAAATTTACAAAATAAAATTGTTTTAAATCAATTTTTGTTAGTGAAATATTTGATTGCTTCTGTTTCAGGTTCAGCGATATTTCATAAAAATGCGTTTCCTTACATACTTTTTATTACCTTGTTTAACATTCTTGAAATTTAATTGCAGGTAGGGATTTAAGCTTGAGGAAAAAAAAACAAGTGCAGGGAATTTCAGGAATCTGAAATTAATTTCGATATTCATAATTACTCTTTGTATGCTTTTAAGACGAGGAATTTTACATATTACATTTTTCACCAAAAATATAAGGGAAATAAAATTGATCTCACACGTTTTCACTTTCCTCCATTGTTATTTAAAGTAAAATTTTTCTAATCTATTTTTTCGTTTTTTTTTGTTTGAATTTTATAGAGTAAAAATCATCGGATTAGAACCCTTTTAAGTGATTAATTGTTTGCATTTAAGTGTTTGCGGAGCTAAAAAATATTGTTTCAAAACCCTGAAAAGTTTTTGCATCTTATCACTTTTACGCTTCATTTATTAGTGTCTAATTGAAATGTTGCTTCAATCGAAGCTGATTTGTATTAATTGAAATTAAACTTTTGCAAATTCAATCAATAATCGAAAAATTCGTAAATTGACTAAATTTCTTAATCAAAAAAATCACTGAAGTGTAAAATTCAAATCAAATAATAATTTAGACAGACTCTTGACTTTGATGTAAATTATATAATTGGCGTACTTTGTTGAAACATTTTTCAATAATTTTTCAAATAACGGTAATTACAGAGACCAGTAATTAGATATTTTTTGGGAGATTCAATCAGCTTGAACCATTAATTAAAAGTAGGACTTTACGAAATTTTTTCACAGAATTCTAAATTGACAATTTTGTATTGATCGGGGTTTAAAATTGTGTTCTTGTAATTCTTTGGTGAGCTAATACGAGCCGACGTTGTTGAAAATTGTTACCGAAGTTATATTTGTACTTTCAATTATCGTTCTTTGCTTTGACGTAGAATTTTTAATCTTGAAACAACAAACATTATTAAATTCTCCACATCGTGCCAAATTTCTGACACACACACATTTGGGAATTTCAAGACTAAGCAATTTCGTTGCTTTTTTCCAGGAAAGTGGTACATTAAAACGGGGCTGCGGTCGTCGTTGGACCAGTCTGAAACAACACCCTCGATCATGTACCGAACCTCTCACAGAAACCGGAAACAGCAGCGGCCTTTCAACCCCCTCGACCGCCAACACGAGTCCTCTTCCTGCGGCCGCGGGCGAGGGCACCAAGAAGAGTAATTGGCAGGTGATTGAGCACTTTAGTTCAAAGGATAAAGGAAGTCTTTCATCAAGTCTGATAGCGGTAAGTGCTCGCGTTATTGTTAAAGTGTTAATTGAGAAATTAATAAATTCTATTTTCTGTGGCATTAATCTTCCTCGGGCCATTTTCCAGATTGCTCCAACTGTCTAATTCTTAATCTACTACAAGATGAAGCCAAGCTAAGTAATTGTTTTGTTTTTCTAGGTTGGTAGTGTGTCTCGGACGCCTCCGGCTAAAGAAAATGGTTCTGCCCCGAATTCAAGCCCGGAATTAGAAAATCATGAAGTCGAAGCAGAATTACTGGTGTCTTCGACTCCCAAGCAATCTGCCGGTTTTTTCGATAAATTTCTAACACTCATTAAGAAATTATTTAGTACTCATCAGTTTCAAAATGAACAGGCGAGTCCATTTATTGAGTAAGAAGAGTATTACGTAATAAGAAAGCTTAGGTTTTGCTGTGACAGCAAAAAATTGGTCGTGTTTAAAACTTTGTTCTAAAGCTTGAGTTTCTCTTTCGGCGCTTCATTAAGTTGGCACAATTCTCGTAGCTTTTTGTTGTTTAGTGGCTAGGAGAAAATTTCGGTCAATCTTTGAAACTTTTTGCATTAATTACGAATTTATTCTAAGTTTTTATGTATTTTGCGTCAACAGCTAAATATTTCTTGTTTTTATAGCTCTCATAAGAGAAAATAATTTAAACGATTTTCAGCTTTTCTTGTTATGTGACCTACGTAGTTGTTAACCTTTAACAGGAAAATAAATGCTTACTTTAGACCTTTGATATCTGTTTCATAGCTGTTTTCAAATAAATAATTATTAGAAACAAGTAAAGTGAAACAAGATTTATTTTTCTTAATTTTCAGGATTACTTAATTAAAGCTATTATTTTGTTTGGGTAGTCTAGAAGTCTTTGAAGTTTTTGTAGTATTTTTATAATAGTTTTTTGATTATGAAATATTTTTTATAAGTTTAAGGACAAAAAATATGGTTCCATTTGAGAAAAATATTTGTTTTTATTTTTGAAAAAATCAGATTTCATTGTTATAAGCATTAATTTATATTAAAACTTTATTTAAGACAAAATTGCCCAGAAAATGCTATTACCATAAAATTACACTTTTTCATTAAACTTTTTAATCTCCAGATTAAGTAAAACAAAATGCTGTGAGGTAGTTAAGTTGACGAATAAAATATTGGACAAAAAGCACCTTTCTCTCAAAATCTATGTTTTTTTTTGCTTAATTTAAAAGATTTAGAAAATTTTTTGACCGAAAATTTAAAAAAATTTGTGAGATTGTGCGCAAACAATATGCTGAAAATTGGTAAATTAAGATTAAAATGCGTTTTTTGCTTATTTCAATAGAATCAGGGCATTTTTCTAAAATCATAACTGAAAATGCGTTATTCGTGCTTTTTTTTTAAGTTACCAAAACAAAGATGTCAATTCCAAAATCATAACTGGAAATACGTTATTTGTGATTTTTTTCAATGAATTTCGGGTGTTTTTTGTTGAAAAACTTAAACATTAAAAGATTTTTTTTAAATAAACAAAAATTTATTTTTTCGCTTAATTTAATAAATTTAGAATATTTTTCAGTCAAAAATTTAAAAAATTGTGAGCTTTTGCACAAACAATGCTGAAAAATTGGTAAATTAAATTTGAAAAATTCGTTTTTATTGCTTATTTCAATAGAATCAGAGCATTTGTTAGTGAGCAACTTACTAAATTCACAAAGAAAAACAAAGATGAAAATTGCAAAATAATAACTGGAAATACGTTATTTGTGCTTTTTTTCAATGAACTTGAAGTATTTTTTGCTGAAAAACTTAAACATTAAAAAGATTTTTTCAAAATAAAGCAAAATAAAGTCATTTTTTGCTTAATTTAATAAATTTAGAAAATTCTTCGGTCAAAAATTTACAATATTTGTAAGATTTTGCATAAACAATGCTGAAAAATTGGTAAATCAAGTTTGAAATAGGTTTTTTTGCTTATTTTAATAGAATCAGAGCATTCTTCAGCAAGCGAGTACTAAATTCACAAAAAAAAGTATCAAAACAAAGAAAAAAATTGTAAAATCATAACTGGAAATGCGTTATTTGTGCTTTTTATCAATGAATTTGAAGTGTTTTTTGCTTCAATTTTTTCATTAAAAGATTTTTTCAAAATAAAGCAAAACTAAGTCAATAATAAATTTAGAAAATTTTTCAGTCAAAAATTTAAAAAAATTATGAGATTTTGCACAAATAATATGCTGAAAAATTGGTAAATTAAGTTTAAAATACGTTTATTTGCTTGTTTCAATAGAATCAGAGCATTTTTCAGCGAGCAAATTACTAAATTCACAAAAATTACCAAAACAAGTGAAATTTGTTATTTATGAATTTGAAATATTGATTGCTGAAAAACTTAAACATTCAAAGATTTTTTCAAAATAAAGCAGAATTTATTATTT